CATGACGTTGTCAGTCTGTTAGCAAAGTATCTGAAGAACCACTGAACAGGTTTTTATGAAACTTTCAAGAAATAATCTCTGCAAGCCAGTCTACAACTGATTAACTTTTAGAGACAAGCCAATCCAAGATGGCTGCCACAGACAACTGAGCTTAGAAAACACATCAGCGACTGTAATTCAATCAGATTAATAAAAACTGAGCTAGAATTCAATTCGCTAGTAGGTGAGAGTAAACATTCTCGAAAAAAAAATCTAAACTTTTAACTACTGCTGATATTCTTTTCTACAAGTCATTTATAATTATGAGTACTTGTCAAAGAAAGAAAGAAAGAAAGAAAGCACAATCACAAATAAAGTCAGAATCACATCCATTTTTGAATTTATTGATTTTGCACATTTATAATGATGACCATCTTTAATCACAGAATAAACCTTCTATATTTAGACAATAGGTATTAATATAATTTGAAAATATTTATGGGGCTTAATTTTTATCATTAGTGATTTGTTTTAGTGGGTTGAAAAAAATCTCCCAAATAGAAACAATGAGGGTAGAAGCCATGCGCGTGGGAAGCATTAACCACGGTTCTGCACCAGAGAGCACATTCAGTTATCACCCTGTTGCCATTAATCAAATTAGGAAGGTGCTCATCTTTTTCTGAGAAAAAGCTCAATGCAAAAATAATGAAAGAAGAGCTGCAGTAAAAGCCTGACGTTTGGAAAAATTAAGCTTTATTTAAATTAAAACTAAAATTAATCACAACTAGCAGAAATTTGATTAAGAGACCCAATGATCTTCAGTGTGCTGGGTCATATGACTGCCTGTGTGTGTGTGTGAGTGTGTGTGTGTGTGTGGTGGAGGGGGAAATCAAGCTGAGGTCAGGTGAGGGCCAGTGGTCCTTAAAAATGTTTTACACTCAATCTCAGTGTTCAGGCTGAAGTACAGCACACTCCTTTGTGTGAATAAAGCTCATAAAAATAATTAAAAAAAAGTCACACTTTGCATCCACCAAGAGGAAAGTGGGCAAATTATTTTAATGTCCAACCCCAAGGATTGGAGGAATGCATATCGCCCGCTGCTTTGCAAGGCCAGAGTTTTAAAAAAAGATCCCATGAGATCCGTTTGCTCTCACAGAACATACAAGTACCAAACCTGTAGTAAATTAGTTTATACTGATAGAAGATGTGTGTACTTTGACAATGCCTGCTACCAGGAAGGGTGGGCAATCATGTAACTGTGTGTGTACATGTGTGAGTGTTCTTTTGACATGTTAGCAAAATATCTCATCATCCAGCAAACAGATTGTTAAAGGCCTCTCAAAGTAATCGTAGGCGTCAACCAGATTCAAGATGGCCACCAATTTTAGATACAGCATGCAACATGCATTGCTTCAAAGGACCCTGGTTTCATTTCATTGTATTTTATTTGTATGACGCATAAAGGACTTATTTATATAGAAACATTGTCTTTAACCTGATTAGAAAAGTCATCATATGAAGTAAGAGCAAAGCAGCAGAAGGAGCATCAGCGTTACAGACGGCCTGATAACCAGACTCCACTAAATATCAGAAAATTCATCATGGATTCAGAAAATGAGCAACAGGTCTGAGATCCAAAGCCCAAAACTCCATCATGAAGAACCACAGGAAACAAACCACAAGATTCTCTTTGGTGGGGGGTCCCGCAGGGGTCCATCCTCGGCCCTCTTTCTTTTCTTTATATCTACTGTCACTAGGTGCTATTTTTCGTAAACATGGCATACCCTTTCATTTTTATGCCGATGACTGTCAATTTTACTTCCCTCTGAAGCACACTGGTGCACGTTCTATTCAACCTCTTATTGACTACCTGGCTGACATCAGGGACTGTATGGCTTTAAATTTATTAAGTTTTAATGAGAAGAAGACTGAAATCATGTTGTTTTCTCTTAATTTTACGATCAAGAACCACGGTATCAATCTTACCTCTCTAGTCCCGTTAGAGAAACAAAGAGTCACTAACCTGTCAGTGCTAATGGACCCTTCCATGAAACTTAACAGTCATGTAAACACGATTAATACATCCTGTTTTTTCAGTTGAGGCCACTGTCTAAATTGAAGCCCATACTGTTCAAAAATAACCTACATACATTCACAACAGGCTTGATTACTGCAATTCATTTCTTTTTGAAATCAGTCAAATCAATCAATCAACCTCCACTGCACAACTACAACTGGTCCAAAATGCTGCAGCCCAATTTTTAACCAGTACAAGCAAAAGAGAGCACATTACTCCAGTTTTGGCTTCCCTGCACAGGCTCCTGGTTCTCTTATGAATTCAGTTTAAAATCCTTCTGTATGTTTTTTAATCTCTGAGCAGTTCTGCCACCTCTTATCTCACTGATCTGCTGCAGCCATATGTCCCACAGCGCTTGATGAGGTCAGCAGATCAGATGCTTATATTGGTTCCAGGCACTTGTTTTAAGCTCAGAGGTGACAGGGTCTTCTTTGTTGCAGGTCCAAGACTGTGGAATGAGATACCACTACAAGTCAGGCAGGCTCCATCTCTCAGTGGTTTTAAGTCTCGCTTAAAAACATACTTTTATTCCCTGGCTTGTGACACAGTGCGATTTGTTTTGAACCTGTCTGTATTCAACAATGTTAGCCATTTAGTTATCTTCTTCCATTTGGATCTATGTATTTTTTTGCTGTGTGCTTTGCTTGTTTGTTTCTGCTTTACAGCGCTTTGATTGGTTTTGTTGCTGTTTTAAGTGCTTTATAAATAAAGTGGTATGGTACAGTATGGTATGATATGGTATGGTATGGTACAGTATGGTATGGTATTGTATGGTGTGGTATGGTATGGTAAGACTGAAATGACTGTGAAATTATTTAAATGAACAGTTTGAAACTGTTTTACTTTCTGATTTGTTTTTTACTTTTTTGCTTTGTTGTTTTTGCAGAACACAACTCGTTTCCGAGCTAATCAATACTTCGTGTTTTACGACTATAGCGAAAGAAAACCTCCTAATTTTATATTGAACTGAATTGAGCTTCTGTTGTAATCAAACGCTTCTTTGAGGGGGGAAACAAAAAGAAGAGCAGCTTTAAAACATGTCTTATGACTCTCTGGACTCTCGGGGATAATCAGGGACACGTTGGACTCGTGATGGCTAACTGGATTTTCAGACTGCAGAGTACAATGGAGCACATTTACTAACAGGACTAAAACACTCAGCTCTGCACTTAATGCCTATGTTCAATTTGTGTGGATCCAATATGAGTTTAAAATGTCTGACAGTGAAACGAGAATTTACAGGTTCTCTCTTTGTCATTTAGTGTCCAAACTGAACAATCGGTTACTTTTTACTAGAATATTTCAATCTAGGTGCACATTAAATTATTTACAAGACCCAAATCCTTTCTGTTGAGGCTTCTGTTTAATAAATTTTGACTGATTACTAAAATATTCAGAGTAAAATGTGCCCCTTTCTCTTTAAATGTCAGAAAAAATGTTCGAATGTAGGAACTTTGCCAAAAATATTTTCATTATTGAATGATGTAGACTAGTTGTTGCTTCAGTGGAACAAATTAGCTGGTATTTAGATGTTGATAAGCTCTTGGTCAGGAGACCAGAACCATGTGATTTAAAAAAAAAAAAAGAAAGAAAGAAGGAATGCATGGTGTGTACTGTTCTATATGTGATTTGAGATACACATAAAAGATCTGAAGTGTAATGGAGCATCATACAGGCAAACGATGAGAGTTCATTTCATCAGTGCAGCTAATGGAGCACAGTTTGCATCTGTTGCTTCCTCAACAAGCCTCGACTTGTTCATGTAAATCTCACACACATTGTCTTTTGTTTTCAGGGAGGCTTTTCTCCGAAAAATCTGCATGATCGTTGTTGTTTTTTTGTCCCGAGGCCCGCCTTAAGTCTCGATAATTTGCTCGGTGGAACACAATCTGATCCCTGGGTGCCTGATTATTCAGGGTCTTTGCTGCACAAAACTCCCAAAAACGGCTCCGGATTTTGGTTTTAGCTGCTGCGGTTAATGAGCTTTGAGTGGACTGAAGTAAGTTCGTCACAGCAGCCCAAACCCTGCTGAAAATAAGCCGTTTTGTTTTGCTTGAGCTGATAATGAGCAGCTCGTGTGTCATTTTTACAAAAGTGGGAACGTTAAGAGACATTCAGGTTCTGCCACGCTGTATGTGTCACCAGCCACCAACATTCTGGGGCTTTTTTCACAGTTTTGCACTCTGGCTCAAACAGACCCTTTTAGCCTTAAAAGGAGCACTTATGAAAGTGTTCACACGAGGAAAGATTCAAGCAGATTTGCTTTAATTGGAGCTTTTAAACTACAACCCACACTCTGGTTCTCTTAACGGCTTCCTTTGGTTTAGAAACCGAGTAAATAAAAGTCCAATCTGAATGAAATGACATTTAAAATGCTTACCTTTTCTTTTGTTTTACAATGTCACTGTCATACTTACTAAATTATTTTCATCTTGGAGGATTAGGAGAATATTCAGTTGCTGGTTTGAGGGTTTTTTTACTCAACAAATGGGTGGAAATAGAGATTAACTGCAATTAGCATTGGTTCACCTCTCCCCCGACTGGTCACCAGTCACTTCTTGACAAGACTGCCTGCACCCCAATTCTCTCAATTATGCAAATTAGGTTGAAATCATGTAGTTGGAGTGCTTTTTGAATGAAAAATGGGAGAGCGTCTGAATGGGGTGGCAGTGCGTTTCAGGTCTTGGCTCCATTTTCTCACAGAAGAAGCTGAAATCATCCACACGGTGAAGTGGAAACAAAGAAAAAAGGAGGTTTCAACAAATTAGGAGATTAGGGGCCAGTTATCAAAGTGGATTTATTGTGCCTTGCTCAGGCGAGGGATGAAAATACCCCGTGGGCATGCTAAGAAAAGGGTCATGGGACTCCCAAAAGGATTACCTTGAACTGGAGTCATGAGACTGGGGTGAACAAAGACCTCGCTCACATGCTCATCATAATAACCAGCCCTCATAAAGTGAAGAAGTTTCATGTCTTGTGGGGATTCAATGGGAGCACTTGACTGGGAGAGGAAGGCTCGGCGAGAGGAGAACCAGCAGACTTGCAGCACCATGGGGCTCCAGCTGAGGACTGTGTGTAAGTGTCTCCTACAGCTGCAACTCTTTTGAAACCTAATTTCAACACTTTTTAGAAGGAGCGACTGGGCGCTTCCTAACTGGAGTTAGGTTTGGACCGTAATGTGAGCCCTGCAGGAGCTCTGGGTGATGCACGAGAACAGAACGCTGCCAACACAAGAGACAGAAGCAACTATCAAACAGGATGAGAATTACTTTGCAGAAACTTGAACTAGAAAGAGCAAACGTGCAAAAAAAATTATTTAAGTCGTTTCAGCTGTTTTAGCAAGCTTTTACAAATAGCAGACACCGTTTGAGAGCTCATACGTATTGCCAAAACTGTATTTTTCATTGCTTGTGAGCGTGTGTTTGAGTTGTATTTAAAAATTCTAATATAACCAACAAAGTGAAGTTAAAAATGTTAGAAATGCATCAAAACTGTTTGAGGTGGTTCATGTATTTTTATTTTCCGAGCTGAGTTTCTGTGCAAAGAGGACTGATTGTCTTTGTTAGGAGTCCTCATGATCGTCACAAGACGCCAGCAGCTTGTTTGCACTCGAGTTTTTAGAGATATCGTCAGACGGTAACGCAATTAAAGACTTTTATTCTCCTTAAGGTTTAGATTTGAACTGATTTGTGGGAAGAATTTGCTTCACTTCAGTTTTAATTGGACGGTCATTGCCAACAAATCCCCCCACCCCCCGAGGAACTTTGCCTCGGATTTGAAGTATTTCTGCTCTGAAGTGGAAAAAGATCAGACGGCAATCAGAACAAGATGTGACAACATGTGAAGCACAATCGGTGTGTGTGTGTGTGTGTGTGTGTGTACTGTGTATGTACATTGTCAATCTGCATCAACTCATGGTGTAAAATGAATGACAGAGCTTGCTTGATATCAGAAGACCTGCGTTGCACAAACATCCAACACAATCTAATATTTCTCAGAGGAAACATCACAGAATCCTTTTCTTTTTCCTGTTTATCATCCTTTCTTTGCAGAAAGTGACCACTCCTCGTCTTTTAGCGAGGATTACAGCATAAGAGGATTTTGAAAGTGCAACTTGGACATTAGTGAGGCTGATCTCTCAGGGGTGGTGGTATAGCACATGATGCAAAGCTAATGCTTTCTCGTTGCTCATTTTGTCTTCACAGGCACACAAAGTTTGGATTGAGAGGACATTTCTTAAAAGAGAATGCATTCACATGTTTCCCAGCAAGGACCCCACCAGGTAATTTTTAGTCTTTAGACTTGAGAGGAAAGAGTTTGTAATAAAGTAAAAACACGGGAGAAACTTATTTAGATTGTGAGATAACATCCAGAATGTTCCTCCAAAGGAGAATTTTTTCTTGCAAACTTTCACAGTTCACAGTAACTTTTGAAAATGTTCATTTTACTCATATTTATTTAAATTGTAAATATATATATAGAGACATTTTAAATAAAGCACAAGAAGTTGTGCTATTCAAAAGCAGCACAAAGCAGAAACAACACAAGGGTTATTCTATGAATAGGGCTTATGCGTGCATATATTGGGTGACTTATGACAGTAATGATTAAATAAAATGTTATTTTTTTGCAGTCAGAAATGGCCTCTACGTTCAGGTCCATCTATTCTCCCTTAAAATCATTTCTGTGTTCAAATATTTGACATTCAGATTGAAGAAGAGGCAGTTTCCACCATGAGTTGTAATTTTTTTTAGACGTGATGAGTTTTGTGACGTGAACCTGTGGGACTGATCTCCTGCAGATGTTCCTGTGGGCAGCTGGTCACGCAGCACGTTGCCATCCCTCCCGGCGCCAACTCCATCTCAGAAGCGACTCCACTGGTGCAGATCGAGACTCTGAATGATAAATGGAGTGTGATAAAACACACCAGGACCTACCCAACTGACTCCTACGGGATCATCGAGTTCCAGGGAGGAGGCTTCATCAACAAGGCCATGGTGAGCTACTGAAAGCCATGTCAGCTGTCTCATCCTAAACTGACCACGAACCTTCTCTTTCAGTACATTCGGGTTTCATACGACACCAAGCCCGACAACCTTCTGCATTTGATGGTGAAGGACTGGCAGCTGGAGCTGCCCACCCTGCTCATCTCTGTGCATGGAGGTCTCCAAAACTTTGACCTCCAGCCCAAACTCAAGCAAGTGTTTGGCAAAGGCCTGATCAAAGCAGCAGTCACAACAGGAGCCTGGATCTTCACAGGTGGAGTCAACACAGGTAATGAATTTAATGCTCACCAATCAAACACTGGCTTGTGACTTTAAAAGATTGAATTTGCTCTGAACTGTCATCACGTAACAGCTTTTCTGCAATTTCCTGTGGGTGCATTGACCCCTTGTCACAGGTTTAAGCTCTATAATTAGAGCTTTGAATGGGAACTTCTACACAGATTGTTTCTGTGTGGATTTTTTTACAAGCAGTTGCCAAAGCGTGTCCCATGATGAAGCCTCGTGATGTTTCTGAAAGAGCTGTTCTTCAAGCTGACCTGTTGTTTGTTTGTTTGTTTGTTTCTGTCACGTTGTAGGAGTGATCCGTCACGTTGGAGATGCCTTGAAGGACCATTCCTCCAAATCACGAGGGAAGGTCTGCGCCATAGGAATAGCTCCATGGGGCATCCTGGAGAACAAAGAGGACCTTATTGGAAAAGATGTAAGAACTTAATATATTTATTTATTTAATCTACGTGTGAGTTCTTTCTTGGATAACTTTGCTTGCTCCTTCTTCTAGGTGACCAGGACCTATCAGGCGATGGCAAACCCACTGAGCAAGCTGGCAGTGCTCAACAACAGCCACTCCCATTTCATTCTCACTGACAACGGGACTTGTGGGAAATACGGCTCCGAGGTCAAACTCCGTCGGCTGCTGGAGAAGCACATCTCCTTGCAGAAGATCAACACTCGTAAGTGTTTTGAGATGATGCTGAACCCACTCCATCCTCAGAGCTCCTCTGTGACCCTTGGGCTTCCCTTTGTCATCCTATGCCTGGAGCTCAGATAAGGCAGGGACCACAAAGGGATGCTCAGCTGTCACCACTGACGTCACTCCCTTCTTTCCTGCTGGCCTCGGATTTTCATCTCAAACTTTCGCTAACCTCAAATGACACTTTGGTGGAGACATCTGTCTTCCCATCTGCTACAGGTTTGGGTCAGGGGGTGCCTCTTGTGTGTCTGATCGTGGAGGGGGGTCCCAACGTTATCTCCATCACCCTTGAGAGCCTGAGGGACGAGCCTCCCATACCGGTGGTGGTGTGCGACGGCAGCGGCCGCGCCTCTGACATCATATCCTTCGCACACAAGTTCTCCGAGGATGGAGGGTGAGGCCTTAGACGACTCGTCTGTTACCATACTCTGGTAGTCCTCAATAAAGAAGGGACATTTTATTTTGAAATCTGTTCCTTTAGCCTGGTAAATGATGACGTCAGAGACCAGCTTTTAGTCACTATTCAGAAGACGTTCAATTATAGCAAAAGCCAGTCCCAGCAGATCCTGCTCATGGTGATGGAGTGCATGAAAAAAAGAGAACTGGTAAGTGATGATGAAGGTGTCTGTCTGACCACAGTCCCTGTACTTGAAGTATTCTATTCCATTTACTGATATGTGTCAGTCAATAAACACTCTGAAGCATCATGTCTCTTTAGTCATTCATTCATTTCACTCATCTGTTGAAGTCTCCATCAAATATAGTTCAGGTCTTTTTAAGTGGGGTTCAGTGGAATGTTATGAATAATAAAGATCTTACCTGACGTAGATCGTTTTTAAACGACTTTGTTTGGAGAATCAGTTCAATTTACTTGAATGAACTGAGAACAGCTAGTGTGAACAGAACTCAGCGGCTAACTGTAGCAGATCTGATGCAGCTCGGTGCACTTCCAGCAGGAACTTCATAATATATTTGCCTCAGTTTAATGCTAAACTGAAAGTGCAAGGTTTAAAGAAATAACCTTCTCATTAACCCAGCATGAACGCATGAACTACTCAAATTAGCTGTTGGCTTATCAGTCTGGTCAGAAATAAATGGTTTCTCCAAAGTGAGGAACAAAGCCATCTATGGCAGGTAAGATATTGCGGCTTGTTGATAGCAGCTTGGCTCAAGAAGGAAAATAGCCCCTGTAGCACACGGAAGTGTCCTCTTCCCCACCAATATGCTCATATGGGTAAATGGTAAATGGACTGTACTTATATAGAGCCATTCTATCTGATCAAGACACTCAAAGCTCTTTACAACAATCTGTGCCCTCATTCACCCATTCATACAGCACTCTACTAATCTATACAAAGATTAATCAGAGCTTTATCACATTCATACACTGATGGGACACACATCAGAGGCAATGAGGGGTTCAGTGTCTTGCCCAGAGACACTTCAGCATGTGACTGCTGGTAGAATCGAACCCCCAACTCTTGCATTGGAGGACGACTGCTCTAACCACTCAAACACAGCTGCCTATGGGCGAAAATATAAAAATGCTGTATATAAACTGTAAATATATATTTAATAGAAATGTGTATAATGGGTATGTGAAAACGCTTTGCAGAACCTGGACAGGTGAAAACAGGGTTATAAGTGAGGACCATTTATCAGTTCAGCATAATCTTGCCACAGAACCCAACTTCAAAATGATCAGAACTTTTCTGTAAGAATCCTGAATAAAGACAAACCCGACCTGTTTTCATTTAGCCATCATCTCTGCACCTGACTGTAAAACACTCTTTAGTGTCTAACTTCACTTTTACTGTAATGCAGCAGACAGAGCTCCACTGATCCCACTAAAAGTCACTAAAACTCAAAGGAGATTACTACAAATAGCACCGGCAGTTGCTCATTTTAAGCAGATTCTGCACCAAGTGCTGTGATAAATACTTCCTAGTATCCACTTTATATAATCTTGATACCTCGAAAGATCAGAGCACTGTCGCCTGCTGCCGGCGGATGGACGGACTTTATCTCTTTAACCTTCAAACAGGTCACTACTGTTTTTTTCAGTCTGCAGAGTGCTAAACTTCACCAGGACTTGCACTTTATCCCTGATGCATAAAACCCAATAATGCTACAATATTCATTTTTTTTTCCAAAGATCATGTCACTTTGGGTTGATTTTTAAACAGTTTTGCTTTGGCTGATTCCCAGTCTGTGCCGTGCTGAAAGCTTAGACACATACACAACACAGACTAAAACAGTTTAAATGGTTTAGCACAACGTGTAACAAATTTTTTCAGTGTATAAACTAAAAACGCTCATTATTCACAAACTGAGGCCTGCTCTGTGCGTTGAGCCACACATTCATGCCAGTCTAATTCAACCCACCACGGCTAAACATGTGATGCAAGCATCCGCATAATTTCATTTCACACAGTTGAATTTATACACAAAGGAGGTTTTATCAGTTGGACAACACTTCCTGGTTGTTTGTGCTCTAAGGTCAGAATGGGAGGTCCTGCTGGAAACGGCAGAAAAAGAGGAAATACATCCTGACCACATGAATTCATTTGTTTCTTCATTCATCCATTCATTTCATCTGGTAAATCTTTGAGCCCCAGTGGTATATGGTGGCCTCACTCATCCCTGCAAATACTGTTTATTTTTTCTGTGCATATATTGTCTTTGTTTTTTGTAGATCACAGTGTTTCGAATGGGCTCTGAGGGGCAACAAGACATTGAAATGGCCATTCTTACTGCTTTGTTAAAAGGTATTATCATCAGAAAAAAAAAAGTTCAAGGTTTTCATACTGATGAGTTAGACACTATTAACATCTTGATCATACTACATTCATTATTTCAAATTATACGCTATTTCATGTTATTTTTCTAAATAGTATGAAGGTAAATGGCAGTAAATTAACAAATAAATTCTAAATATTTTTAACAAAAATAAAGTTGATCATATATATA